ACACGCGGTGGGCGCCCATCTGATTCACACGCGGCGGGCGCCCATCTGCTGCACACGCGGCGGGCGCCCATCTGATTCACACGCGGCGGGCGCCCATCTGCTGCACACGCGGTGGGCGCCCGTCTGATTCACACGCGGTGGGCGCCCGTCTGCTGCACACGCGGTGGGCGCCCGTCTGCTGCACACGCAGTGGGTGCACGGATTCTGTGCTCTGCGCCACCCAGCAGCGCTCACGGCCACCCTCCACAGCGGCATCTCAGCACCTGGGTGAGGGATGAGGAAGCTGGACTGGGCACAACAGATCCCCGGGACTTTTCATTTTCTTCCACTTTGTTCAGACTGGATAAATTCTATTGAATATAGATTTATTTTTTTCTCTACCATCTCTACCAATTTGTTTTTTCAGTTGTATTTTTCAATTCTACAGTTCCACTTGGGCCTCCTTTTATTTCTTCTGTCATTGCTGAAACGTTCTGCCACTTTTATCTGTTTCAGGAATATTTGCAATTACCTTTGAAGTATTCTTTTGATGAGTACTTTAAAATCTTTGTCAGATAATTCCAACACCCNCTGTCATTGCTGAAATGTTCTGCCACTTTTATCTGTTTCAGGAATATTTGCAATTACCTTTGAAGTATTCTTTTGATGAGTACTTTAAAATCTTTGTCAGATAATTCCAACCCCCGACTCTTTTTGGTAACATCATCTGTCGATTTTCCCATTCAAGTTGTGGTTGTCCTTTTTGTTGTTATAATGAGCGATTTTTCTTCTGTATCCAGGGGGTTTGGATATTACTTTAGGAGATCCTGTTTAATTGTGAGGCGCAGTGCAAGGTCTGGGTGGGTGTGAACGCTCAGCTTCCCAGGGAGCGCTGCCAGTGCTGCTCTGGCACAAGCAGTGTACGGACTCACACTGGCCTGCTGTGGACAGGTGGAGTGATGCTCCAACTTCCCTTGGGTCGTGCTGATACCAGAGAAAGGGGAGTGGGGGAGCAGACTGCCAATGAGCCCCAATTCCCACTACTTCTTCCTAACTAACCGATGATGGGTGAGCGCAGAGGCTGAACTTCCTCTCGGCTTCTACTGAAACTAGGGAGACAGGAAGTGGAGTATTAACTAACCCAGCTCATACCCTTCCATTCCACCCCAATGTGAGGGAAGGCTGGAGGCTCAGAGTCCACTCAGCCCCTTTGGTATGGGGTGAGAGGGCAGGGAGAGGAGGATCAGAGAGCCCATGAGTCCTCCTTCACGCTGTCTAGTTAGGTTTTTTTTAAAATTTTATTTATTTGGCTGTGCTGGGTCTCCGTTGCTGCGGCGGCTTTCTCTAGTTGCAGTGAGCAGGGGCTACTCGCCGTTGCAGCATGCAGGCTTCTCATTGTGGAGGCTTCTCTTGCTATGGAGCACGGGCTCTGGGCCTTGTGGGCTTCAGTAGTTTCAGCTCCCAGACTCTAGAGCACAGGTTCAGTAGTTATGGGGCAGACAGCTTAGTTGCTCTGAGGCATGTGGGATCTTCCCGGACCAGCGGTTAAATCCATGTCTCCTGCGTTGGCGGGTGGATTCCTTACCACTGAGCCACCTGGGAAGGCCCTGAATTAGGTTTCCTTTTGCTGAGTACATGTGTAGCTTCAGCTCCTTACTGGGCCCGCTGACACCAGGGACGGGGAGAACGTGAGTGGTCACTAACCCTGACTCACACCTCCTGGTTTAGTCTAGTTGATGGCAGGCGTGGGTAGGGCTCACTCTCCACTGGATTCTGCTGACACTAGAGGTGAGGGCTGAAGAGCACTGGTAATTAGCTCCACCTCGCATCACCTCACTGGGTCTTGATGTTGCTAAGTGCAGGTGAAGTCTTATCTCACCAAGAGATCCTGCTGACATCACCCCAGTAGGAGAAGCTGAGCTCTTTTTGCTTCCACCAGGCTAGGGATGGAAGGTTAGTTCCCTGCTCAGCTTCCCAGACAGCTCAGTGGTAAAGAATCTACCCGCCAATACAGGAGACTCAGGTTTGATCCCTGGGTCAGGAAGATCCCCTGGAGTAGGAAATTCTTGTATTCCACTCCAGTATTCTTGCCTGGGAAGTTCCACAAACAGAGGACCCTGGCGGGTTAGAGTCCATGGGGTCATACAGAGTGAGACAGGACTGAGCAACTGAGCAAGCACACCCAGCCCCGCCAGCACCACCGATGGGGGATGGCACTGCTATGCCCGCCACCTGCTTCTGCTGACCCCCTCAGATTGGAGGTTAGGAGGAAGATCAGCTTCTGCCAAGCCCTGGTGAAGCTGGTGTGTGTCTGTGTGTTGGTCTGGATTTTCTGTTGCATGTAACTGGTGGAGAGGGAGTGTTGCCTTTAAGGTTTTCTGTCAGGTTTTCTGGTGAGGCCACCATCTTCCCCATCCTTTGATTGGATGCACAGGTTTTTCTTGAAGCACATTCTGTTTGTGCCAGTTAGAGATTTAGGATATGTATATTCTGTCCAGGATTTACGGGAGACAATAAGGAAACCCAGAGAACTTACTTCTTTTTCTTCCCCAGTCCCTAGGTCCCTGGGCAGCCTGCCTTCTTTGTTCCCTCTTTATATACAGTGAAATATTATTCAGCCATAAAGAAGAACAAAATAATGCCATTTTCAGCAACATGAATGGACCTCAGACATAGAAAGACAAATATCATGTGATATTGCTTATACGTGGAATCTAAAAGTAGGCTGCAAATGAACTTGTCCACAAAACAGAAATAGAGTTACAGATATAAAACAATAAAGTTATGGTTACCGAGGGGCAAGCAGGAGAGGGACAAAGTGGAAGATTGGGATTGAGACATACACACTACTGTGTATAAAACAGAAACTAACAAGGACCTACTGCAGGTATAGGGAACTCTGCTCAATACTCCGTAATGGCTTTCATGGGCATTACAGACTTAGTCACTAAGTTCTGTCTGACTCTTATGACTGCATAAACTATAGTTTGCAAGACTCCTCTGTCCATGGGACTCTCCAGGCAAGAATAGTCGAGTGGGTTGCCATTTTCTTCTCCAGGGGATCTTCCCGACCCAGGAAAAGAGTAGAAATATGTATAACTGATTCACTTTGCTGTATATCTGAAACTAATGCAACACTGTAAATCAACTACAACCCAATAAAAATTCTTCAAAAAGGATCTCCCTATGCTTGTTCACTGTGTCCTGTGCACGGTGTTTAACTGTTAAGAGGAAAGCCCAGGGAGGAATGGGGCCATTGTATCTTAGCAAAACCCAAAGTCCCTATTCTTCATCTTTAAAAACACCTAACTGGTATCCCATTCTATATACAGTCTTATACCATTTTTACTTACCATATCATACATTTTAAATTTCTGTAATAAACTCTTTATAAGTACAATTTTAAAGGCCATAGAATTCCCCATTGAGTGGTCAGAACATGATTTACCTAATCATTTTCCTATTGTTGAAATTTTAGTTTCCAATATTATTGCTATAATATATAATGCACTAATGAGAATGTTTGTGACCAAAAGTTCTCTGCATTTTGAATTATAAGTTTAGATGAAGTCCCAGAAGTAGAATTACACATGGCCAAGAGCAACATGGAAGAAGTTCCTTTTGTTCTGACCAACAGTGGGATGTGCACATACTCTTAAACATGAGGCAACCTGAGATATGACAGAGATCAGCACTGCAGAGGCCCCAGAGTTGTTTCTCTGACACCTGTGCGGCTGAGCAATCGCCCTCACTTTGTAAAGTGGCTCTTCCTGTCTTTTGCCTGTTTATCTTCTGGGTGCACACATGCTCAGACTTTTTGCAACCCCATGGATGGTAGCCTGCCAGGCTTCTCTGTCCATAGGATTATCTTGGCAAGAATACAGGAGTGGGTTGCCATTTCTTTCTCCAGGGGAATCTTCCTGACCCAGGGGTCGAACTCACGTTTCCTGAGACTTCTGCATTGGCCGGCGGATTCTTTACCACTGAGTCACTTGAGAAATGTGGTCGCCTTCTGGGCACTTACAAAGTCTTTGGGAATAGCTTCCCAGGTAGAAGATACATGACTCTACACTCACAAGATGTAATTTTCTTAAGCCAAAAAAGATACCTTTCAACATCAAAAATCAGCTAGGAAATAAATAAATTAATCCCTTTCCCATTCAACTACTGCAAAAATCAAGTGCCTAACGGAGAAACACCTGCCACTTAAATGAAGACTTCAGATGAAGATAAGACATAGGAAGAGCTTCAGATTTCTGGCTAATGCCCGATCTTGAAATTTTTGCTGTTTGAGAGGCAGTCCTAAGATGGCGGAGGAATAGGACAGGCAGACCACTTTCTCCCCGACAAATTCATCAAAAGAACATTTGAACGCTGAGCAAATTCCACAAAACAACTTCTGAATGTTGGCAGAGGACATCAGGCACCCAGAAAGGCAGCTCATTGTCTTCAAAAGGAGGTAGGACAAAATATAAAAGATAAAAAGAGAGACAAAAGAGGTAG